ACACACACACACACACACACAGTTCACACACAGTTACACACACACAACAGTTACACACACACAACAGTTACACACACACACACACAGTTACACACATACACACACACAGTTACAACACAGTTACACACATACACACACACACACACACACACACACACAGTCTCAGACTCACGTTTCTTCCCGTTGATGTGGTCTAAGAAGTTGATGGAGTCTTTGACAACACAGTCACAGACGTTACAGTAATAACTGAAAGAGAAGAAGACAAGCAGCCAATCAGAGCGAGGCTCATCCTGTGGTGGTGATGATGATGATGATGATGATGCAGGTGTTTGGTACCCGCCCATCTCGGCCTGAGGAGTGGTCTTCGTGATGACGATGGTCTTCCCCAGTTTGGACTCCAGGTCCACTTTGTAGTCTCGGTGACGCAGGAGGTCCCGCTTGACCGGCGGCGCGATTTTCCCTAAAAACACACAAAGACACGACTGTGACATCACTTCCTGTGAGGACTGTGACATCACTTCCTGGACTAGATGACAATAAGTGAAGCGTCCTCACCATCTCTCCTCTCTCGGTCTCTCTCCTCAGACAGACGCTTCTGGGCCAAGTTCTCATACTCATCTTTATCCCACTTCCTACGGAAGTCATTCTTACTGGACTACAAGAGGAGAAGAAGAGGAGGTTTTTTAATATATTCAATAATAACTAAGTTTTATACAGATGTTTTATTTACGTGTGAAACAGATGTTACATGAATCCTGTTGATCAGTAAATACTGATTGAAGAGGTTTAAACAGTAACTATAGACTAACCTGTTTCTACTGTGATAACGTTAACTCTTCATGGTGCTTTTATTATGAAACTCTTTGACACTGAAACAGGAAGTTGTTCCTGTTTAAATCTAAACTTCCAGCTGATTTATTCTTCTTTTGTTGCTCAGAGGATCTTTTCCTCGTTCAGTTAAAACATCTACTGAACTTACATCCGTTAGTGAAGACACATACTACAAAATAAAAGCATCAAGGAACCTTCAGACATGTAACAGAGTCGTTCCTCTCTCATATCTAACTAATCACAGAGCTCCAACTCTTCATCAGTAGTGTAGATAAACACAGTGAATTTAATCTAAAATCTACCTTTAATGTGTTCGTGTTAATGACCCTTTTATTGTGAAGGAATCTGACCAGAAGTCCTATTGATGTTGCTGCTAGCGGAGCCCAGGCTAACATTTAGCAGTTAGCTACACAGACTATGTTTATATAGAAGTAGATTAAACTAAAACACAGACGAATAGTTTATGAATGAACTGCTCCCTATATACAGGGATGGGTCAAATGCAGAAGTCAAATTTCGTGTATGTGTATGTGTATATGTATATGTATATGACAATAAAAAGGGTTTCTATTCTATTCTAAACCGGAAACGTAAACATTGTTGTCTCTTTTCATGCTGTTAGATAAAGCGTCGCTTCAAATGGGTTTTTAAACCGTTTTAACGGACCCGGTGTGATCCGTTATCAGCTCTCATTAACGGACTCACTCGGGTAGAAGAGAAAGTCACAGAACAATTAAGTTTATTTAAGGTTTTTAACATTAAAAACAGATCCGATCAGGAACTCACCCCGCTGCCGGACGCCATCTTGTTTACTCAGTAACGATTTACGGCCTGTCGCACATTCAGTGTTACGTATTTTCTCCCTTTTCTAGAAACAGCGCCGCCTGCTGGAGCGGAGTCACAAAGTGAGTTTATAGAGAAATAAAGGAGTAAACAAAAAACAACAACAAAGATAAAAATATAAAGTGTAGAAGAAGTGATAACAACAAATGGAAACTAAAATAGAAAAATAATATTGAAATTGAAAAATTAATAGAAAGTTATATTGCACATGATGTGGTTTTTATTGTATAAAT